TTTAATGTCCACATCCCAACCTATAACCTCACCATCATCTTCCAGCCATTTGTTCCCTGCTCCAGTTCTCTTAATAGAAAATGGAAGTAGCTGTTAGCTTCCTAAAAGAAAGGGTTGATCATGCAGAATTTAGGCAAACAAATGCTATTTATATACTGGGGTTAACTGAAATCAGTGGCACTGTGTGTGTACATTGGATTTGAGGGGATCCCATGCTAAGGGCAATGCAGAGGCTACAGCTACTTCCTGGCCTGTGTTACGAACCCGTTTAAGTTCCCTTGAGGACAGATCCTGTAGTATCTGCTTTGCACACAGGTGTGTTGCATTGACTTCCACATAAGTAGAGGAGCTGAACACATTACTAAATGCATTCAAGTTTGCGATTGGCAAGAAGGAGCTCTAAGTACTTAAAGCTAGCATAAGTGATAATGCACTATTATAACTATTATCTTGTTAGACAGCTGAGTATGATCCCAAATACATTGGTCAAATTAATCTTCTAAAGCTCTGATTCTGTGGGGATTGATGCAGAAAACCCTAAAAACCAAAATCACTGGTATTGCATGGTACCCCTGTAAATTCAGTGGAACCCTACTTGCATAAAGAAGTCACAGTCATTCTGGTGGGCTGGAGTAAACCGAGAGCCTCCAGAAGATGTAGAAGATTTAAGTGTATTTACACACCAAATACCAACAGGTACAAATTTCAGCCTCAGGAAGTTTTAATGGAAGAAAGTAGCTTAATCACTCAGTATACTTTGCAACTGTAGCTGAAAGTTTAATATCACAAAATAACATATTGCTATGCAGCTTTAGGAATCACACAATCATATTCAATCATTACCCACATTTTTCAAGTTACTGTTCATTACAAACTCTTCTACTATTTGCAGTTCCAGTTTTCAAATGGATGACACAATCGATCCATAGCTTAATGTTCATTCTCACAAGTTGTAATTAATAAATAATCGTATCACATACATAGAATTTTATAGGTACTCTTAAAATGGTTTTACATTACTATTAAATATATAGATAAAATAATCACTGCTATATAAAAAATCATTTTTAAACAGCTGAACTCCCAAGCTTTGCATAAAATTCTGTAGACACATTCATTACAATCTAGAAACTCAATAAAAATACATTTTAGAGCTCAACCATCAAAAATATTCATGGCATGGAAAAGTGATTGTCACTTTCACTGTAATCTCTGCTTGCCCTATCTTTGCACTGATCATTTCCTACAATTTGGCAAAGGCTGTGTTCAATTTTTGCAGATTATGTGACTGTTTAAATAATTTCTTGAACTCAAGACATCTGTCCCATAAATTTTTAGCAGGGTTCTGTCTTCAATAGCATATTTTCCTTGCACTTCCAATAAAATCACAATGAAACATTTTGCAGTTAAGTTACATGACTACAATAACATTGAACCATCCAGCATAGTTGTCTCTCAGTCTTTAATGGCACTTCTGTGAACACAATCCTCTATCCAGTGATCGTCAAGCACTTCCTGACACACTTCACAATACTCTGCTACCCACACATTTCTTCAACAACAATGGATTTTAGAAACAGTCTTAACAGATCAGTACCCTTGTGTATCTGAATTTGATGCTAAATCAAAATACCAAATGCAGTCAGTTCAAGTTTAGCATTTTCCAAAAACCCAGACAAAAATTCAGGAAAAACTTCCTTATTCAGACGTATGTTATGGAAAATGGATTGATGATGGTTCATCTACCAGCCTTTAAAACCTGCACTACTTCAAGCCAGTCCTCTAGCCAGCAAGTTAAAATAGGCTTTGCCATAGTGAATGCTTAACAATCAGGCTTTTAGACTGTTAACTCAGAATAGGACACAAAGTTCAACAACAAGAAATGTTTTCAGAATAGGGCACTTACACAGGGCTTGGATCTTGCACTGTGGAAGAGATGCAGGCCTACAAGTCAATGTAAGTGGGGGAAGCTGCTGTTTATGCAGATGCCATTTTTGCAGTGCGAAGTAATGGCAAAACTCCTGAAGAGTACAGTCTCTTCTTATGCACAGTTGACCATACCAGTACAATCAATCTTAACTCTTTACCCTGGATATTCTTACCTATGGGACAGCTGAGTGAGGTCCACTGCCTCTGTTATAGCAAAACCACAAACAACCCCAAATATGGAAAGCAACTTTCAGTCGTGGACCAATTTAGTACTTTTTTGATCTATTTTGTATGGAAGAAACAATCTCCATTTCTTAATGGGATAGGCTGCAAAACGTACATGAGTTTAAATATTGGGAGATGATGATCAAGACAATTGCTGGATGCTGTTTGACATTTAAACTGCTCATTTTGCTGTTTCAGTCACTGTTCATCAGTGGGAGGTAAGAAAGAAAACCTTGGTGTTTCTCCCTCTTGGAAGAAAAGACTATGTAATGAAATTGCCAGCATTAGTGCATTCCCATTCGCTTTTTCATTCTTTACGGATGACAGTTGTTCAGATGAGACAGCCAAAGACCTCTTCATTCTGATTCATTTTAATAGCAGGAAGACAGAAGGGAGCTTACTTGATTGAACTTTCATAGCTGTAAAGCTCCATGAAAAGTCTGTAATCTAACCCCAGATAATCTCTGATGAAGACTAAGAAACATGGAAGAATCAGAGAGGCTCAGAAAGAAGAAAAAGGTTCAGAAAAAGTTGTCATAAATGAAATGAGCCTTTGAAGAGTGGCAAATAATGAAGAGCTGTCAATGCTTTTGCTCTGAACTAACGTACATTGCTACTTGCTGCTATTAAATAGCTGCTGTACCTCAGCCTGCTGTTGACTGGTTTTCAGATTAAGGATATAAAGTTTCTTGTATTAAGTTTTATTCTTTCAGAGAAAAAGCACTGGCCCTTCAATGTTATATTTTAGCCTACTTCAAGAAAGCATCTTGAAAAATTCTAATAAGGTTTTCTTTTGGAAGAAAGTACTGGTCTTATTCAACAAGCACAAACAGGTCATGCATCACAAAATCAGATGACTCAAAATAGTGAAAATTTTCATCAGCAAAATGAAAAACTTTTTTTTTTACTTATGTTGATTTACACTGAATTAAGTTGGGAAGTTTGGATCTCTTCCTCAACAAGCATGAAAGATCTTATTTTTAATCTCTAGTTAACAGTGACAGGGCAAAATAGGAAAGAACTCAGTTTTGTATCGACTGAAAGAATTAGAATTTTATCTTTAGCGTTCAAGACCTCCTGCCATGCGTTGCTGCTACTGAATTCTAACTTGGAAGAAAAATCCCAGGGAAACAAAAAGCTTATAAAAAACAATGAAGTGTGATGGACAGTTAGGATACCCCAGCAGGTAACATAACTACAAACAGGTTTTAAATACCTGTAAACAAATTGCTATACATCTGACGTCTCCCAGTCTCAGGCACTTTAGCTGAAAACTAAGCCAGGGCAGAGATACACCTTATGCTAAAACAAAATATGTAAAACTTCTACTCATGTGTTCTAACTTTCTCACAGTGTAAATTATGAAGCCCCTCGTTTTATGAAACACACTGCAACTAATCTAACGAATTTTCAGGGGGAAGCAGCAACACGATGTAGTCTCATAAAGCATGCTACGAAACTAAAACTGTGCTGATGCAAAACAGTGGCTTCACTGTAAGTCACACAGAGAAAAGTTACTGCTATTAAACTGAATTTGAAAATTTCCCTTTTATGCTGTAATGCATGGGTACACCTTCTCTGGAAAAAATCCTAAATCAAATATCCTAAAGTGATCGTTATGTGGACAAAAATTACAAGATGCAGAAGCGGCTCAACAGTGTCCATGGGCAAGCCACAGGAGCCTATTCAATTACACTAGAAAGTCAATACCGGCTGTCAACATTTCTCTGTATTTAGTTTTACATATGTCTTTTTTTTTTTTCTCTATTGACTTGAGCACTTAAAGGATATTTCTAATCCTTTTACCATGCACTTCCACCTTAATAGTAGCCTCAGCAAATTAGGTTACCTATTCTTTTTGTACCTTCAAGAAAGAGAAATCTTCACATATCTGGTAAATAAAAGCAGCAGAGAAAAGGAAGCAGAAGCAGCCTCAGAAGTAGTGAGGTGCTTAAATAAAAAAGAACCCAAACCAAACAAAAACAAAAAACCAAACCCCAAAACAACAACAACAAAAAAAGCCAACCCTAAAAACCATGGTATCTGTTCCTGGTAAATTATTAGGCTTCTTGAACATCTTTCCAAAGATGGCCACCATCAGTAACATATAAAACGTGTTTCTTCAGGTATTCTGTACAGAAGTTTCTGGGCTAAGATTTCCCTTATGATCCCTCCTAAGAAGCACCTAGGCATGTATGTTCTTCACACTTCTCTACACCCAACTTATTCCTGCAAAGTAAACAGAACTGTAGTGATAGGACAAGGGGTAATGGGTTAAAACTTAAACAGGGGAAGTTTAGACTGGATATAAGGAGGAAATTCTTTCCTGTTAGGGTGGTGAGGCACTGGAATGGGTTGCCCAAGGAGGTTGTGAATGCTCCATCCCTGGCAGTGTTCAAGGCCAGCTTGGACGAGGCCTTGGGTGATATGGTTTAATGTGAGGTGTCCCTGCCCATGGCAGGGGGGTTGGAACTTGATGATCTTAAGGTCCTTTCCAACCCTAACTATTCTATGATTCTATGACTCTATTCTATAACAGAAGGTGCAGAATAAAAATTAATTTAAGTCCTAAAAACCCAAACCCCCCTACCCAAATAAAACCCTTAACCTGATTTTGTTGCTCCACTGGACTGCCATTGGAATTGTAATAAATTCTTGGGGTGTGTTCCACCACCTGCAGCTGCGCTCTGCCTCTAGCTCTCTTGAAGAATTCCATGGAAAACATGACAAAACATTTCTATTCAGGTGGGCTGATTCATGGGCAAGTCAACACCACCCCTCTTCCACAGCTGTCAGGCCCTACATAAGCAAATGAAGCCAGAAGAATAATTTTTGAAGACTAGAGCTCTGAACTGTTTATATTTCTACTGATAATTATCTGGTTTTATTTAGCATCTTATAAAGCAAGGCACAAATGTACAAAATTGCATCTACTAAATCAGGTAATTTTTATATATATTTACACAATTATCATAATATAAAATGTGCCAAGACATGGGCATAGCACAACAGTAGAGGAGTTGAGGACAACCTGATAATAAACACAAATACCAGGTCTTACATTTCTGTTTGTGCTTCACCTGAAGGAACATATTCATATGCAGATACACAAAGCAATCCAGCCACCATCCATTACTTTTCCACACATCATAAAGCTCAAACTTTGTTGCTAAGAAGCTGTGGAAGGAGTAAAAGGCAGTAGGCCAGCACCCAGAAGAAAATGATGAAGTAGAATAGCTCTGGCTGCTCAACAACTGTAATTTCATGAGTTGGTGCTGGAGTCTCACTTGCTTCCAAGTCCTTTTTCTTCCTGAAAACAGGAGAGAATTTGGTAAAAGGCAGGAAAAAGAAGAAAACTCCCCTCACTGTTAATATTTAGTGTAAAGATCAAAGGCTGACTAAAAGACAACCCTTTAATGAACCATTTCAGTATAGTCAGTTGGAGCCCAAGTTAGACTAGAAAGTGCATAATGGGCTTCAGCAACGCACTCCCTTAGGAGCCAATGTACATAGCCATTAATCCTCTGAAAACTCCGGACGAATTCTCGGGTACTTTAAATACATGCTGTTACAGTACAGTTGTTTGATCTAAGGTGATTTCCATCAGTTAAAATGATGCCTTTTATATCCAGAACAGTAAACATAGCTGTGAGCAATACATACCACACTTTCACAATTTTACTCATACACTATATCTGACTTGATACCTTTTCCTGAAGCCATCTACTTTCAGAGGTTCTCATGTCAGACACCAAAGCATTAAAAAAAATGAAACTAAGGCTTCGAGAAACCAACTAGCAGTTGGGATTTTGCAGGACAAATCCAGAATTCCAGCTTTCCAAAATTCCAGCTGTGGTTCATAAGGACAAAGCTTGGTGGACTCTGTCAGCCCACTGAGCTCTCATAACGACAAGAAAAGGACTTATTTAAAAAGGCACAAGATGGTACAGTCATTTTATGATTTTGTAATACCATAGGGATCACCCTCTGGTAGACTTTTTGTAAATCTACTTTTGGAGAAAACTGTTTTTTGGCATGTTTTAATGAGTCCTTTTTTGTGGCTTGGGGCATCCTACTTGCTCAGATATTATACTGGATATATACCTGAGTATTGCACAAAACTTGCTTGATATCAGCAGTCTGCAAACAGGCATAACTGTGACACATATTCATGCTTTTTTTTTTTTTTTTAACAGAAGCATAAGTGAGACCAGGATGCTGGATCCCAATAATATTTTTTTGTGTTTTCTGCATTTCATGCAACCATTATTTTAACTAGAAGTTCTGGGAGGTACTAACCAGTATCAGCTGAGAAAGGAAATCTAAAGCAATCCTTGTTTCTCGTAGATATGTAAGTCCTAATACCAAAGGGATAGACATTCTGCATGCAGGATCCATCACCCTAAGTCTAAAGTAAACACACATACAAGTTATAAAAACTCATGTGTGCTCTAAGAGGCCAGTCCACTGAAGTATTGTATTTCCTTAGCACTGACCACACTAAACATTGCCTAGACAGTCTTCCAAATCAGGAAAGAGTCATCACTGTCTGAAGACCTCACATTTGAAGTCATCCTACTCTTTTCTTTGTCTAAAACATCCACCATGTGGGGAAAGTGCTGACAATCTTGCTTAGACAGCTGAAGCTTTCCTCTCAAGTCAAGAGAAAGCATTTTAGCCAAGGGGGAGATCAAGCAGTAAAGAAGTTACCTATGGGAAACATGAGCTCCGAACCATTACACAAGACATGAAGTCAATCTCTACCATTACAGATAATTTCCTTTTTTAGCATTGTTAGAAGTACCTAGGGGTTATGGATTCCATGCAAAAGGCTTCTCTGAATAAGAACCACTCACCTGATAATCAGTGGATCTTCACCCATATCTGTCACCTTCTGCTCGTTTACAGCATAGGTTTCCTTAAACAAAACAGGAATAGATTATATAAAAAAATAAATAAATCAGCATCTTACAAAGATGGTAATTGTGTGTGTGTTTTATGCACAGTAAGTCTAACTTTTGCTCAAATAAAATAAAAGTGTGCTTATAAATTTATTCCCTGCCAGGACATCTACCACTGCAGTCTGGTTCACACACACAGCTGGAAAAAAATGTGAAATAAGATTTTTTGTTTGTTTGTTTTCAAGTGCTTTCATTTATCTGAAAAGTTTTCCTCATTCATATATATGTCAGTAGCTCTGACAGCACTGCAAAACTAAAGCATCTATATGAAATCTCCATTTCATTGAACATTGGGATGCTCAGAGTCTTATTTTGTGCCAAAAAGAGCCATATTCCTATCCGTGCTGAGCATATCAGGATTACTGATGCTGTCCCTCCCTTCTGACTTAGAAAATAAAAATCCAGAGCTGAGTTGTATAATGTGTTCTCAAGAAACCAGTATGAATTACATCTGCCATTGAGGATGCAGTTTCACATTACAACCAAAATTCCTCTAGAGTTAGCAGCTCCTATTGAGATAATACAGCACTACTGTGAAGGAAAGGGAAAAAGCCCAATCTTTCATTAAAAAGTACACCTCCAAAGACACTCAGCATTTTTGCAGGGCTGTGACCAGCACACTGTAGAACATGCAAAGAATGTAAAAACAAAATTCGAGCAGCAAATCAAGGCAGCTTCAAAGAAGTAAAGTGGTTAGGACAAATTAAGCCTCATAGTTACAATACACTTAATTGTAGTATTAGCTATTTCTTTGTGGGTTTGTTCAAGGTTCAATAAGGTTCAGTTCCATTATTCAGGAGAGTTCAGTAAAGCTTTCCAGCTATGCCTGGGTTTGGCACTAAAATTATTAGAAGTCACACGGCTTTGTATTATTACAGAGCTTTCTATTAGAGTAGACTCTTCCAGTATGTGAATTTTTTTGAGTTTAAGAGAAATAGAGAAACAGCAATAGGCAAATTGCACACACTTACCTCCTCAGAAGTATTAGGAGATCTTTTTCGGAGATAAATGTTGGAATCATCATCACTGGTTCTGAAATGTATGTAAAAGCAAAGTTTTTAAATTCATAAAGCTAAGTTTTGTCTGTAGTTCAAAGACAGCCACTGCAATTGCACATGCTAGTTTCAAACTATGCAAAACCAGAAATATGCACTGTAGCATGTATTAGAATATGGACTTGAATTTATCAGTAATATAAAAAATGGCTTTAGGAATTCTAACCCACAATAAAAAATCCATATGCTCAAATTACAATCTTTTCTGAAAAATGGTATCTGATACGGTTCTTGCATCTTTGACATCATTGACATCTAAGTGAGAATATACCCCAGGTTTTATGGATGTCTATAAATAAAGAATTGAGGGACTTTGTGGGGAACAGAGCGCTTGAAGGAGACAGTGGGTTTTTCTAATTCTCTCAAATTCACTAGACTGCCACAGTGATAAGCATCAACAAATTACAGTTCATGTCCCACTCAAATACATTACCTAAGAACTAAATTAAAATGTAAGAGGGAACAGAAGAATGGAGTAAAATTAGTTTTACTGGGTCTGGCTGGGGTGCAGTTAACTATCAGTATAGCAGCCCCTGTAGCGCTAAGCCTTGTATTTATAGCTAGAACTGTGCTGATAACACACCAATGTTTCAGCTATTGCTGAGCACTGCTCGAACAGCACCTCGGCTGTCTCTCTAACCCCCTGCCCCAATGGCTTGGTCTGGACAAGAGGCTGGGAGGGGACATGACTGGGACAGCTGACCATGGCTGACCAAAGGGATATTCCATACCACATGATGCTGTGCTTAGCAATTGAAACTAAGAGAAAAGAGTAAGTTGGCAGAGGGACACACACACGTTATTAAGGAACTTGTCTTCTGAAGCAACCGCTATGCCTGTCAAGGCTCTACTTCCCAGGAAGTAGCTGGACACTGCCTGCTGACTGGAATTAGAGAGTTTTGGGTTTTTTTTTGTCTCCTTCTGCTTTGCTTCCACATGTGGCCTTTGCTTTTTTCATCAGGTAATGAGGCAAACTGCTTTTACCTCAACCCAGCAATTTTTCACCTTATTTTCTCCTCCTATCCTGCTGAGGGTGGGGCGAGAGAGTGGCCAGCCAAGGTCAATCTACCACAAGGCTGTTCACTTCTTCACAGACAGAAAAAAATCATAACAAATATCTGTTGGAGTGAAGCAGTGTCACGCTTCTACATAGTGTCACAATAAACACAGATTATTTCATCTATGTTACAAAAACCTCTTTCTGTTGGAAAAACAGTTGTAACACTTCCATGTTCAAAATGCATGGGGTTCCAGTTGGGTTTTGTGTAGCAAAGTTTGTATAGCAAAGTCAAATCAAGTCCCATTGGCAATAAATTATTCAACGTGTTTAAGAGAAACAGAGGAAGAAGCCAATGAGTCCCAGTACACTGTTCCTAAGAGAAGTCTACAAGAAACATCCAGCGGACAGGGAACACTCCAAAAGACCAGGCATTCGTACCAGTTAGGTGCATTTAAAACAAAGTTAATGTGAAATACCTGGTCAATTCCTGACAAACAGCAATTTCTTCCAGTTTATCTTGTGACAGAGTAGTTGTGACAGCTTCTGAGATTTGCAAGTCTTCTTCTTCTATCGTGTTTTCCTCTTCTTCCTCCCCATTGCTACTTTCTTCTGATCTCTTTATGTCTATTGATAAATCCTCTACATGTTCTACTATGCCCTGTTGGAATTAAGAAACATTTTGCATTAGACAACAACATTGATTCCCCACTTTTCCAAGTATTTTAGTGGTGCAGCCTACTCAGATGCTAAATTGCATGTAGTACAAGATTGAAAGTCTCACTAAAGAAAACGAAAAGCAATTTCTTGAAAGTCATTTTGGATATATGCAGCTATAAAGCATCATCAGTTCAACATACATACAATTAGTTGTAAGTTCTTTTTATGTAAGGAATCATGACATGACATGGTTCTTTGAAGTAATCTGCTAAAACTTTTAAATCTATCCTGAATTAGTCTTTGAAGCTAACAGCAAATTAAATGACTTCATTACTCTAGTAAGTGTCAGGACCAGAACATGCCCAGCATGTCTAAGCAACATGCAGAGTAACATCAAATAGACACTCATTCCTGAATACCACTATCTAAAATTGCTACACTGAAAAACATGTAAGACAATTCCGAGTAAATGTCTGCAAGAAGAGCTGCAGCAGATTGCCTAAATCCAATATATTGAATAATTACCAAAAATCTCCTCTCCTTCTCCTTCAGTGTAGAAAAGCCTTCACCTTACCCATGTAACTTATCCTACTCAAGTTTTTGTAGGCAAATTTATTTGGATTCAGCCAAAAATTACCTTTGCCTGTATTCTACATCAGCAATGCTACTTTCTGTTCATCTCATTACAAGTTATTAAAATGCCCTCTGTGATAATCTCTATGCATAAGGATCATACAGGAGCCTCAAACTACTTTAAATATAATTAAAATTCACATTTTTTGCAGTACTCTTAATATTAGGAATTACTCTCTCTTTCAATACCAGAACTCAGGGATCTGCAATTCCATTCATTCCAGTAGAGGGCTGTGGCAAACTGTTATGGGACAGGAAACCAAGTATATGTTACATATTTCTACAAAACATGGCAAAATTAAAACAAATGAAAACCACTAAGTCAGATATGAATCCCCCATGTACACACAAAGAAATGCTGGTTATAACAAAAAATAAAAAAACCTCAGGATGCTGTAGAATAGTGGAATCTCGATGGTTGGTGACCTTTTTGCCATCTTCTTCAGTTTCTAACTCTTCTTCTACTAGTAATGGCACTTCCTTTTCACTAGAAGAATTCACATGACTGTTAATATCTGTTGTTTCTTCCTTGCCATTCTCACTTTCTGTTTTGGATGAAGGGACATCTGGCTTATTCTCTAAGTCTGGCTCTGGAGCATCTTCCTTGTGGTCCTGTTCTGGTAAGACCTCCTTGTGTAAAACATCTGTTACTGTTTCGGAAGAAGCTTTATCATTTCCAGCATCATAATCTTCAATACAGGGCTCAAGGTAAGCGTTCAAAACTGCTGATATGGGAACATTATAATGTGGATAATAAAAGAGATCGTGGGGTATTACAGATACTTTCGAAGAACTTGGCAGCACTTCAGCTGAAGACTCAACTTCATCACAGCTGTCCAGATCCTCTGGACTTTTAGGTACATCTGAGAGAGAGTCATCAGATGTGTCATTCTGTGTAGATAATTCTTGGATTTTGAGATCAGAACCATTCAGTGAACAATGGTTAGTTTCTGTCGTCTCAAAGGTAGGTGATTGCTCTGTATGCTCATTTTGTGGAATATTCAGTATTTCCTCATTTAGAAGATGAAGAACATACTTACGCGTATCTTCTTGTTTTGAGGTATCTTTTGGTAAAAGAACTGAAGTCTGGGGTTTGCTTTCTTCTACCTTATTTATAGATTCATCTGTAAGTATACCTGAAGTCGAAGATAATGGACTTAAAGAAGAAGTATTGGCTGAAAGGCTCTTAGTTTCATTGTCATATTCAGTAGAGGTTTCTTTAGTTAATTTTTCAGAGTAGTCTTCAAAAGAGTCAACAGAATTTTTCTGATCTGTCAGAATAGCTGGAGAAAGGTCATGGCTCTGTTTCAGTGAATCATCAGACATGCCTCCTTCACCTGGTGTGAATTTGTCACTTAGAACCTCCCAAGAGGAACTGGATTCTAAACTGACAGATCCTGCAATTTTCAGTGAGGTGGGCCTCTGAGGCTCCTCTTCAAACGTTTCCTGTGAATCACCTGACATGTGATTCAATTTCCCATTGAATTTTTCAGAAACAGTTTCTGATAGGACTCTGTCAGGGGTGTCATGAATATGAACCTTTGGAGGAGCAGGATGACTCCTTTCGTGATTAACAGTATACATGTTTTCTTCACTTTCACTTAAAATCAAGATTTTGCTTTCTTTTTCTGATGGTGTGTCTTTGATGTGAACATACGTCGACTCAATTGGAAGCTCCTTGTCAGGATCTGTAAAGTCCTCCTACAAGTGATGATACACCATTAAAAGACAAATCATACCTCAGATACCATTTTACTTTTCCCAAACGCTACAGGAAGAATAGCTGCTTAGCTCATCACCCCATTACCTTGTGAATGGCCAATTCATGAATCACTTATTTTGAACGTAGAGAAACCAATTTGGCAAGTCAAGAGGCTTGAACAAAGCTGAGCGTCAAGAAGCCACTTGTACAGGAAGATTAGAATGCAGACAAGGCTACTCCTCGGTTGTTAATGTATTCATCTCTCCCTGCTGCACCTGTAGTGACAACTGACATGGCCTTTTGAAACAATCCCAAACCCTGGGAATAAAATAAATCTAACAGGCCCACTAAATTCACTGTGAAATATATTAGCATAGTAGTTAATTCCATTCCAATAGACTGTATTTTAAAAAACGTAGTCTTTTTCTTTGTCCATTAAAATGCCCACAAGACTTAATGCCAACAAATCTTACTGCTCATCTAATCTAAAAATAGTAATTAGATTATTATAATAATTTTAATTCCAGTGACTTTAGTAATGCCCACCAATTTTATAAACTACAAAATTCATACCAACTGGAACCTTCAGTTAAGAAAGGAGAGGAAATGCCTTTAATGCAGGAGTAATCAATTATGTGCATATACTCTAGCAACAAACTTACCCAGATACTAGAAGGACACTGAGTCCCTTAGGGATCCTTTCAAAGCAAAAAGACTATGTTGAACTTGGTTTGTCTGGAACTACAAGTAGCCTCCAGAATTTTTCAACTTACACAGATCTTTTCCCCAGTTCCTGGGACTTCCCATTTTAATTTGCATTTTCTGTCTCCTGTCCCTTAATTCTTTTGTAAATTTACCCTCTGTTTCTCCAAAAGACCTTTGTCAATCCCTGACACTGTAAGCCCCTACTTACTACTCAGTTCTTTGTTTCTGATAAAAGTCTGCATTGAAGTCCTGGCCCTTTAAGCTGCAATGTATTTCGTGCTTACAGTGAGGGTTTTGACTGCTGCACTGACAAGATCCAGCCTCTGGTATCTTGTGTCTGATAATGGATAAATTCAGATTGATTGTGGTCCTCAAACTTGAGAGGCTAGAAGTCTAAATGAAATTCAAAGTCCAATGAATCATCATAGATGAAGGGATAAAATTCAGCCTTATTTAAGACTAATACAGCAAAGCAGCAGAACTCTAATGTAACCACGTCTAACTTCTGAAAGTTATAATTGCATGTAAATGTTTAAACGCACCATTCTACATAAAGCATTTTAGCAATCACCAATGAAAGTCCATTTGACTGGATTTAACAAAATTCTGAAAAATTAAACCTGAGTTTGTGGTTTATTTTAAATAGAAACCTAGAAGATATATACAGCAATATCTGACTTCATTAAGTACACCAAAGCAAATTAAAAAAAAATGACATGATGTAGAAATAAACACATACCGCTTCCAGCTCCGGGAAGTGTTCCAGAAACTGAGCCACATACGTCACAATTGACTGTTCATCAGGTGATTCCACCATGATATCTACGGAGACAGACACAAGGTGCTTCAGCACACATGGCTCTAAAACATTCTTTCAGAGGAAGAGATCATCACACATTTATCCTGCCTTCATGATGAAAGAAACAGCTACAAACACTTTTCTGACAGATAAAAGAAGTACTTTTCACTGTTGATGGTATTCGAAAAAGCTCTCAATGTCTTACTCTTATCCATTTTTTCTGCTTCCAAACACATACCGAACCCTGATCAGGGTCCCTTTTCATCCACCTTCATACTGTTGTTTATGTTGTCACTAGACAGTGATCTTGCTGAATGACAGCACCGAGGTTTATTTTTAGCAGGATGGCCCAGTCACCTTACAGGTGACCCATGAAAGCACACATAACCAATCTGTGCTTTCAGTCATAAAAGCAAGGCCTAATACCTGTCTAGTACAGTTCGGTAAAAAACACTGCAAGAAGCTTCATTTATACACACATATGCGCACATATATACTTACATTTACATATATAAATATATATATGTGTGTATATGCATCGTAAAGGAAAAACTGGAAGACGAAAACATATCTGAATAGGTATCTACCATTTTACTGGTATGGCAGACTGATACACTTCATCCTGGAGTGACGTTTAGTGTCTGCAGACTGTAGGTCTTACAAAACAGTGCTCATGTATTGAGACACCTCTCAGCATAACAGGGTGGTGATTAATGCCCACCAGTAATGAAGATGCCACATAGCATCTAAACATTAACCAAGACCACCACACGCAACTAAAACTGTAGTAAGATCTCTGCCCCCAGGTAGTTTACAAACATGACCGGAAGCATGCAGCTACAAGCCAGTGACCAATTCTTTTTTATTTTTCTTATCAATCAGCCTAACACACTGATCATGTCAACAGCCTAATCACTGGGAGGTTTTGGTAGGTATCACAATGCAATATTCATGAATTCATTATAGTTTGAAAGTTACCCAACAAGGTTGATGTAGGCATTTTACCTTCTGGTTCTAGGAGCCGAGGAACACCCAGCTTGTTTTGTGCTACGCTGAAAGCATTCTCCAGGTTTTCTCGAGCTGATTTCTCCAGTGCTTGCTTCATGTCTACCAAAGTACAGTCTATTGCTTTTATGACAGCTAAGAAAGCAAGACCACTCCTCCAACTGCTTGTAAAGTCCTGAACCGCAACACCGTACCTAAACAGAATTACACACAGTTCACATGGATGGTTGTGTTACAAAATCCAAAGAAAAGACATCATCAATTTCAAAGCCTCCTGAAGGTTAGAATTAAGGTTGCTGAAGTTGCACTAGTCACATCTGAGATCTTTTTGGATTTTGAAACACAAAATACATCCATAAAACACACGGATTCACAAATTGGATCAACATGGCCAATAGCTGACATCAACCTGCCTGTAGGAAGCAGTTAGTAAAAACAAAGCCCTCAAGAACTCAGCAACCACATTTAACATTCACAAAACCAAATGTGTGATTCCTGTTTCTGCTGCTCTCCAGCATTTTAATGCCATAGCTTGGGAAGACTGCCAACACTTAAATACTTAAAAACATAAGCATGAATGATTCACATTCTTGTGTACTTGGCCTTCTACAGCAGCAAACTCTGCTCTTCCAAATGCAAATGGTGTCAGTATATGTAGAAACCACGAGTGTGTTAGATGCTCAAAGTTTTGGAGGAAAAAACAACTGTCAAACTTGCAATGAAATACAGCCACAGAACAGAAACTTCTGCACAGACCACTGCATAACATGATTATAATGATGCTATTATGCTTTTAATAGTGAAGTTGCAGGAACAATTTTCTCCTATGTTTTCAATTTGTACTCTTTGTCTGAACTGAAAAGCCTATGGCCTTTACTTATTTCGTCCTCACTCTCCTTGTACCACCTCCTTGTTAATGACAGTATCAGCATTATTTTGCGACTAAACCTGTGGTTTCTTTATGGTCTGCACCCGCAGCAGTGAACTATGGATCTTGAGGGGACAGGTTTATTTGCACAAGCAGCACCCTTAGCTTCACTGAAGATAACCAAGGGATGATGTGACCTGCAGGACCAAGTATTTAAGGTGTAGATTTGTATTTTCAATACTAGACACAGAACATTTGTGTTCATAGACACATCTGGACGTAAAAATCCATCAACAGACAAAAATGGCAAACGTTCAGCTATCCAACTTGAAAGTAAGTTTGACCCATGCCCTCTTTAATACTCTCTGGCAGTCATTGCCTCAGATAACAATACATATAAAATACATTCTAGACATTTACACGTGCACTAGACATCTTACATTAAAGTTTTTTTAACCTAATGCTACCAGGTTAAAGTATCACTATACAAAATGCTTTGGTGAAAGAACTGCCTTTTTATTATAGAGAGATGTGTTTAGCGATGGAAATGGATCCAACCATTACATGTTCATGAGAAGCAACTTAAGATTCACCCCCTTCCTCTCTCTAATTCTGATGGAAAAAGCGACTTTAATAGGGGCTCTGTCCTTCAAGGCACTCTGCAGCACACGAGAAGCTGCCTTAGGGCTGCCGCTTAATTTAAAAGGCTGTTGCTGAAGTCTTTCAATATACTTGTTTTTTTCAGTTCACCCCTTATTTATGCCTACCCTTTACTTAGTGAAAGATATAAAACAGACTGCAGGAAAGCCAGGGGCAGGAGGAGGGGAGAACGATCCTGTTTTAAACAGCGTCAAGCAGAATAGTGCAAGTTAACATTTAACACTTAAGCCAGCAATGCACACAGCTTCAGGGTCAGATGGCTGCTTGTAGACACATGGTAATAGCGGTAATACCCCCCTGCAGAGACCCTGCACCTCCAAACTTAGAAAGCAGAAGAAGCCACCATGCACAGTAACACACACATGGGGCAAAGAGAAAGAGAAAGAAGACAAAGGAAGAGAAGGAAGACTCAGCTTCAGGATGGCAGATAGCAAAACACGATTTTGTACATGGGTTTGTTAGCTTACTTTCTGGTTTTCCTCTGTACCCAAATTAAAAGGGCTCTGATGGCTTTCCGCTGATCCTTCACTGTAATGGACATGTTTCTCTCTACGCTAGGAGTGCTGGGGTGGGATGTGTCTGACTCCGGACCACTGGGCCCAGAGGACAGGCTGGAGGAGGAGGAGTTCCTGTTGAGGTTGCCTGTCAGCTCCTTAATCTGCAATAAAAGGCAAAACACACAGTGTTCTTGTTTAACACTGGCTGCATAGAGAACTCGGTGCTTGTTCTCATGAAAACTTTAAAGATGCCAGTGGCATAACTGAATTTTAAGAGGTAGTTATAGACCTGCCCATTATAATTCTCAACTTGCATTGCCCAGGTGTGACAGCTAGCAGCAGCCCAGCTGCCAACCCCAGAAAACAGAAAGGGCAAGGTACCAGTGCACCCTGAACTGAGCAAACTTGTATTAAACAAAGAGCACAGAAACAATGTCCTTGACAAAAATGTTTAACTGAAATTGTTCTCTTCACAGGTCTTGCTTGGTTGAAATATTTTTAGTCAGGAACCGGTGACCTGCAGCAGCACTCCTGTCCTTGGTCAGCATTGACATTTGATTCCAAATTATCAACTCTGCTACTCTTAGGTCCCTCGTGCCCTCTGCTGCTAACGCAGCAGATTCTGATCGCAGCATCCCTGCCTGTGACTGTCTGGCCAAACTGGTGCCGTGCAGCACTGTTCAGCCTGAGGAGCTCAGCCAGGGAGAGAAACCCCAGTGCAACTTTGAGATGAATTTTTAAACCTATCACCATTTTTTAAATGAAAGAGAATGAAAATCCTCACTGTCTTACAAGAGCTGCAGAACCCTTCCACCATCTCTCTCTGTTCATTACAATTTGGTATTGTCTAGAAGGTAATTTTCAAAATACATGTAGATTATAGACCAGTTTTAATCTAAGCCTGGGGCTAAATCCATTTTCAAGCTCAGATCAGTTTTATCAATTCCAGGCCCTTCAAGATCTTTCATTTGGTCTTCTACATCAGTTGCAAATTTTTGCCATGTTGAGTAAGCCTCCAGAGATCAGTGATTCTACATGGAATTTCCCACCACATTGTACCAATCCAGAAAAGGTTACTGAAAATAAACTGTGACCTGGAACCAAACCCAAGACATTGGTTCAGATCCAGGGAATCTGGAACAGAACCCTAACAAGGCACAGGAGAGAAGGGAAAGTGGTAATCTGAAGCTTTAATTCTGGTCCAAGTCAAACAAAGGCTTAAATTGTTTCCTATTTACACCGAAATACTTCAAATGAAGTAAAATGAAACAGCTGCAGGTATAAAGTTAGGAGGCAAAAGCTCAGGTTTGACATGTTTAATTATGTTCTTTAGGATGAAAAATAAATTTGAAAAGCAGTGCTCAGCTGGAGTAGATTGATACTAGGAAGACTGTTCACTTATGATTAAAGTATTCGAGTTGTATTACCTGAAAAAACAAGATTATATTCCATATTAGTCCAAGAACCAGAGAGGAATTTCCATCTGCTATTTCTGCTGCATCGATACTAACAAGCTTTACCTGTAGAAGAGATCATAAATTCAGAGCCAAATTCAAAGAAGCAAGGTAAATGCAAAAAATGCACCCAGACTTCTGGGCATGTCCAGAACACTTCTGCCACTGACTGACCAGCCAAAAAGCAATTCTGAAAACTTACGTTATTGCTAATCTTCCCTGATCACAAATGCCCTGCTCATGGATCTCCTATCTCAAGCCCCCAGCATAGTCTGCAGAACAGAAATGAGCCCAATTCTGCACCCTGAGAACCAGAAATGCATTTCCTCCTTATAAAAATTGAACAAAATGGTGCTGCCTCCAGGGGATCCTATTCTTAAAAAGTAGAGTCACTTCTCATACAAAAAGTCCTAATAAGATCTGCTTACTTCTGTTTTGCTATGTAACTCCCTTCTCCTTGCTTATCTCATCTCACATAGCTTGTCACAGAGTTCTGATTAAATCAGTTAGCAAAGGATAGGGTTGCCTAATCCAAGCAAACTCTAGACTTTCCCACACTGTGGTTTCTTCCACCTGATAACACCAGGATGTTACTCTCTTTGACAACACAGACTTGGTTTTGGCAAAGGTTATGGAGGAGGGAGGAAGCAAGGAAGCTGTCTGTACTACACATGGCACCCAGACAGTTAAAGCCCAGCATACAGCTCATTTATCACTGAGAAATCCTGTGCATGAAGAATCACTTAGCAGCACTTTACCCTGCTGCCCCAGTTCTACAGAAGCGTCCGCTGATGAGTTCCACCCACTGTGGTTTAATATCTAACCCTGAAGCTCTTGGCTACCAAGGCATTTTGCCAACACTTTCATTACCACCCTTCACTAACCAGTTTGGTTAAACTGAAAAAAGGAAAGCAAAATAACTTTTATCTCGTGGTTTGCCCAACAGTTTTCAATCTTAGCAAGAAGACACCTCTAGCTGTCATGTTTCAGGGCTCAGATTTCTTGCTAGCTCCAAGGTATTTGGCATGGGAAAACCTTTAAAACCTACTATGTCTGAATAGCAGTTTCTTCAAAATGGTGAGTGGTATTTATCATTAGACTGCTCTCAGTGTCAGCTCTGTACTCTCACTGCTGATTATGTTTGTCACCCAGCTCAGCAGGGATACCTGGCTACAAGATACTGGATCTTACCCTTAAGGAAACAAGAAATCCATAGAAAAGTAGGTGTTTTAGCACTACTAATTAAAAGGCTGTCTGTGTCTAAGGCTTCTGGAGCAAGGCCTGGCCTTGCTCATTTTGGTTCTAGGTTGTCCTGTAGTGAGCTCCTGACAACTAGACATGCTCCAGCTGCAGCTCTGTAATGTGCTGATATCAACCAAGAGAAAAATATGCCATCTGCCAGTGGGACTGAGCTGCATTTGGGTAGAATCAACTGGGAAACTGTTAAGAAATATGTGAACGTGTGAAATATTCCTTAGCAGTTCTATAGCAGGACACAGACATACACATTGAGGGCCAGATCAGCCCCTACTGATGGGAGTTTCAAAAAGGAGACTGGAATACCTGCAAGTTACTGGACAACTTCTTAACCTTTCACATCATCTCCTGGGGAAAAAAGGCAAAGGAGGTTAAACCTCCCGCATCCATGAGGTTGTAAGAGATCCACTAAGAACCTCACATCATGCTTATTCCCACAGAGGGTTCTCAGTGATTCTCCTGCATGACTAGCATGGTGCCACAATCTCCGGAGCAAGAGCTAAGCTCATTGTAGGGAAGCAGCAAAGTTACATCAGTTGCTGTTGTGGCATTCCATGCAAGGCAGGGTTTTGCCCATAAGCACACACTGGATCTTTCCTCACCCATAAAGTTTAAACCCTACTGCAGCCCTTTATAGGACGTAGTCTAATAATTGTTTTCTCCTTCTGAAAGATCTAGGTATACCATATATATGAGTTGTTACATGGCTGCGATTTCTCTTGACTCCACTGCTTCTCACATTTTTCAAGAGCAGCAATTTTTCAAAACACAAGCCACATCCACAGGGCTTTGGAATAAAGCCCTAATGGGAGAAATAATAAATAAAGAAATGAAGAAATAAAAAAGAATGAATAATTTCAAGCTAGAGGCTCTCATCTTGCTTGGTCACTTACAATAGGAATTGATGTTGCAGTAATACTGCACTGACTACAAAGGAAGTTATATCCTTATAAGGTTTTGATTCCTGGAATTATACTTTTATGTCCTCAGATTTATTTTTTCCTGCCTTTGACTTATTATCAGCTGCTGCAGGAGTTTGCCAGATAAATACATGATTTGTAATACTGTAAATATTACTGACCAAGTCATCTACCTTCAGCGGAACTGAAGCAATGCCACTAATACCCAGTTCATAAGAATTACCTGCATTTCTTTTCACTTCCTTTTAATATCGAATTCATGATCCTTTAATCCTGTTGAACATTTACATTATAAAATGAAGAAATAATCCTTGTTTTAGACTCTGTAGGTGTTCTCACTGTGCATTTTTATGTGCTTTACAGCCTCACTGCTAAGGTAAGTCATAGTGCCTTTATTCCTCTTACATACATGCAGCACATCAGACTAATTACAATTTCAATATAATTTGCAACATACATGGAGAGAAAACATTAAGACCTTTGGATATACTCACATTACTGTCCTCCAAGAACTTCAGTGCTTTGGCTATGTTGTTCAAACGAAAAATGCGATGGCTTGAAGATTTGTATTCATGCATCTAGAAAAAATAAAAGCCACACTGTCTGTAAAAACAGTAGAATTATTCACCATGTCATATGAATCTTAAAAACTATTGACAAAGAGGCAAAATAAGACTAAGGTAACCTACCTCTGTACAATTACTGTCATCTTTGCTGATCAGTAAAGTGCTTCAACTACATGATCTGCCCTTGCAGTAGCAAAACAGGGTTAGCAACCAGCTTTCCTGCTTTCCAGATGTTATCCCTCTCTTCAACCTGCCACATTGATTATTTATGTAATCATGCCCCAACCATGTTCAGTCACAGGATCAAATTTACCTGAAAATTCATAATAATAGATTTATCTTTTTTCTTAAAATGGGTTCAGCAAATCTTTCTTAAACTGGTCCTGGGTTTAGCAATAGCAGTCATTTTTCTTCTTCTTAGTAGCTGGTGCAGTGCTGTGTTTTGACTTTCAGCCTGGGAACAGCGCTGATAACACTGATGTTTTGGTTTGACCAAGGACTTTGTGAGCCTCATGCTCTGCCAGGGAGGAGGGAAAGACGGGAGGAAGCAGAGACAGGACACCTGACCCAAATTGACCAAAGAGGTATTCCATACCACAGCACGTCATGCCCAGGATGTAACTGGGAGTTACCCAGAAGGGCTAGTAGACTGCTTGGTCGGGCTGGGGGGGGGGCGAGTTATCGGTCGCCTGGTGGTGAGGTGTTGTATTCTCTTCCCTTGTTATTTCCTTTATCATTACTATTATTGGTGGTAGAAGTAGTTATCTGTGTTATACCTTAGTTACTAAACTGTTCTTACCTCAACCCGTGGGAGTTGCATTCTTTTTGATTCTCCTCTCTGTCCCCCCAGAAGTAGGGGGAGGGCAAGAAAGGGGGGGAGTGAGTCAACGAGCTGCCTGACTGGTTTTAAACCATGACAGAACCGAATTTTATGATCCTATTAGGAAGCGTGAGCAGCTTTCATTGCAGGCACAGGCAGGTGGGAGGCAGATATCTTCACTTTGGCAGAAATGAAACAGATTTGTTGCATGCCTGTCTCCCTGCAGTTCCACTTTAGCACCCAGTTTCCATCACACATGTGCAGGGAAACCTAACTGCCAGTGCAACAAGTCCAGCCAGCTGACCTTACCTCCTTCCCTGACCTGCTGGGCACAGCCTCAGGTTTACCATGAGGTGTCACCCCCTTCAATTCCTTTCCAGCCTGGCTTTCAATGCAATCTCTGTGAATGCACACAAACACAGTGATGCTTTTGCTAGTGCTCCCCAAAACTGCAAGTGTATTACAAAACAAGCAGTTGTGAATGTGTGACCACAGAGGCCATTCATGCTGCAGTATGCAGATGGCTCAGTCACTGTAGACCATCATCGTCTGAGTGCATCTGCAGTGGTGAGACAGCTGCAGAACACGTTTCCTCTTATCCAAGTGTGATACCCACATAGAAGAGAGTACTTGCTGTCAGGACTGATGGAGAAAGAAAACATGTTAACTATAGCTGGTCATTTATATTTGTACTGGGTGTTTCCATTTCTGGTATGTACAACTTTCTACAGCTCTTACAAAGAAAGGAGGAGGGAAAAAGATTCTGGTAAGTGAAGTTTTGCTCTTCTGATTTATACCCTATCAGTAAGACTAATGAAGTCTTAGCCAGGATATCAGAACTAAACGCACAACTACATCAAGCATCAGCAGACCTATTAAGCGTGCATCAGACAATGTAGAAACAGAATTCATTGAAAAAAAACAATACAGCAAATATATCCTTCCTTGGTAGCATGACTTGGGTGATCTCCAAATGGGATATGTGAGCATTAACATATACATACCAGCTTTTGTCCTGACAGGACCTCCAGTAGTGCCATCAAGATTTTGCCATCTTGTATATCAACAAACAAGTCTTTCACCTTCAGAGGAGGCTTGCACTGTGTAGAAAATTAAAAAAAAAAAAACAAAACAGGTAGCTTTTAAAGCAGTACTTCTTGATAAGTCACTATGATTTCAGAGAGTAAGAAGGAGAATTTTACAAGACTGAGATACTAGGAGTAAAACTTAGCCTGCAGGAAGAAAGGGCTGACTACGGAACCACAGAATGGTTAATGTTGGAATGAACCGTAAGATCATCTGCTTCCAACCCCTAGGCCATGGGCAGGGGCACCTCACACTACACCATGTTGCCCAAGGCTCTGTCCAACCTCGCCTTGAACACTGCCAGGGATGAAGCCTTCACCGCGCAACCTGTTCCAGTGCCTCACCCCCCTTACAGTAAAGAACTTCTTCCTTATATCTAATCTAAACTTCCCCTGTTTAAATTTAAACCCGTTACCTCTTGTCCTATCACTACAGTCCCTAATGAAGAGTCCCCCTCTGGTACCCTTGTAGGCCCCCTTCAGATATTGGAAGGCTGCTATGAGGTCTCCATGCAGCCTTCTCTTCTCCAGGCTGAACAGCCTCAACTTTCTCAGCCTGTCTTCATATGGGAGGTGCTCTATTCTTCATATCAGTGGCAATTCTGGCCTAGGAATGTCAGAGCTAGAACTGAGGTACAGTATTCATGTAATTGAGATAAGACTTATTCCAGATTTCCCATAACAGAGTATCACCCTAAATAGTCTGCCTAGGAAGTGACTACCCAAGGGTTGGGTGCTGATCCCTCAAACTACGACCAGTGCAGAAGAAGCAAATCCCACTTTATGTTGAAATAAGCCTGTAATCCACAATGTCTCCTCTGTAAGGTTTCTGGTGGTGTCATTCTGTTTCCTAGTATTTTCATTTCCATTGCTGCCCATTTCTTTCCCTACTTTAAATAACAGCTTCTTCTATTGTGCCTCTCTCTTCTCAGCAGACTCCTCCGAAGGGAACCATCTCCTCACTTCACCAAGGTGTCTGATGATGTGTACACTATGAAGCACACAGCCAAGTCAGCTCAGCCCTTAGGAGTAGTCCCAGCTGCAGCAATTATGCTCTTTTCAGGTGTCACTCACTTACGTATCCCTAAAGAGCACGATCTTTTCATCTCTGGTTGGGCAATGCACTACTGTTCGATTAAGCGCTGCTTCTGGAAAATTGGACAATATGTTTTCGTTACTAGCCTTTAATCTAGCCAAGAGTACTAAATAATGATCTGTACTGAAGGAAAGCAAAGTATCCTTCATTTAAAAATCAAATAACCTATCTGAAAGCCTCAAACCCAAACCCTTTTTATCCTTTCAGTACTTAAGGGCAACCAGAACTTGGAAGATGCAGTCTACTCCTAATTATCCCATGACCAGCAGAGCCAGCTCCTCTCAAAAGATGACCCAAATGGGATCGTCTGCTCCAAAAGAGGACACAGCACACCATAAGTTTCCTGAAAAAGTACAAGAAGACTTCACTGCTGTTTTTTAAATAAACAAGCCACTCTGCAAGAAGTGCTCCTTTGAGGATAAAGGTCACCTTCCTCAGTGGGTGTCCTCAGAGAATCACCTGTAATTAGAGAGAGCTTTAGCAAAGCTTCGGTTATTTACACGGGTACGTTTACTATGCCACTTAGAGGAAAAACATTCAATATAGGGGCAGACTTCTGCCTTTTCTTCAGAGAAGCACTTTTCTTGGTTGAATCCAGAGAAAACAGTTCACCTGCCCACTCAGATTCTAAGACTTCACATATTTGGCAAGGCAGAATTAACAGCACCCTATAGGCTTTTAATGATCTAATTCCTTCTGTAAATCAAAGACCTTTTCCACAGTCACATATTTGACAACCTTTTCTGACAACTTCCAAAATTACTGTTAGTATAAAGCCCTAGATCCTGATTCACAAAGGCATCATGTAACACTGCCTTTGTTCTGAGAGACCTTTGGGAGCACCTGCTAGTCAAAACATTTCCTGCTAGTCTTATTCTGACTTTCCAGTGAGGATCCCTTTATTTCTTCAGCAAGACTCAGTTGCAGAATAGAGGACTTAAGCAACTATATATGTGATGGCTTTCTTCTAGAACTCCTTTACTTTACTATGTCTGAACTGCAATCACTTCCCAAGAACTACAGGAGCTAAACTGAGAGTCAGCTTGTAGCCCAAACTTGTTCCCAGTCTGTACTTTATGAAATTCAGACACAGATACTAGAAGCACTGTGAATTTGGAATGCCAGTCCAAGTTAAGACCTTTTATAGATTGGGAAGCTGGTCTGATTCCTTGATCTTGCACTAAGCATTGCTTCTGTCTCAGGAATATTACATGTGTTTTTTTTCTCTTTCTATGTTCAACAGCAGGAAAATCGTTCTCCAAGTGGCAGACTACTCAGGAGAGTTATCACTACTATCAATAAGAAAAGTAAATGAGGTTTAATAGCCATATTATGGTGTGATGAAGAAACAATCACATCTTAAAAATATGATGTCCAAAAATTAGTTCTCTAGTGGAAGTGGATACATAAGGATCCCATCATACAGCCCTCCTCCTTTCATGACTGACAGGTAAGGAATGGCTCCCATCTGCAGCTCTGGGATGAAGCCAGGTTCTGAAGAACATAGGCCATGTTCTGAATGGCTCCAATGTCTGAACTTCCAGTCCACGGAAGAACACAATTACCTCAGAGCAGTCTCAGCCATATTTGACTTTATGTGAGTATATTCTGTGGGAAAATTCTAGCCTCATGACAACAATTAACTCAGGCTTAAATGCACCTGAGGTGAACTAAAGCCAGCCAAGCATTTGTTGTGCCTGAAAAGCATTATTTTTTTTTAAACCATAAATATGCTTTCTGCTTCCTGTCATTCTCTTCCAAACATCCCCATATGCACAGAAGTCAACTTTGTTTCCAAATTTAAACTACTTTAAAAGACATTGCCTGCAATAAATCTATGGTTTGGCCCTTGTATCCCAATATCAAGGCTGTTTGTCAGTCTTACCTTTCCCAAATGTAGGTTTATCCATCTGGTAAAGGTCCTCTTCTGTACATTTTCCCGTTCCACTAGAAATACCAGAAGCAAAAAAAAACAGCACTTAATTTTCCAGAAGAGGAAAACCTTGTAGGAAATTTCAAAAACTGATGCACAAAGAAGTCAGAATAAAACAAATATATTCCAAATCAGGAAATATAAGGTTGAGCTATGGTGTTTTATACAATTTCTTTGCCCAGACATGAGCTGTGCACTTGAGGATGAATTCTAAAGGATGTAGGAAGAAATCTCTCTTCAATTTTCACTGCAGCTTTTGGGAGGTAAATATTTAAGTGTCGTGCACAGCTCCCCAGTGATGTTAGCCTCTGAGCAGGCAGCTTGACCCTTTTATGTCCATTTATAGGATTATTGCTTTGATGCCTCATGCAAATTGGGCTGCTGTGGATTCCAGTGTACTTGTATGCACAAGGAACAGGACCACATTAGCAACGCAACAATTTTGTCTTCATTCTTATGAATGGAAAAACCTCGTCAAATCTCATCTTCCCAGTCTCCTAACTGGTGCATTTAAAATCAAAATTCCAAGTCCCTACATTGAAGAATCATTTTACTTATATTGCAGTAAGAGGAGGAGTGCTTGCTCCTTGCCAGAAGTGCTGCAGGCTAGGTGCTGTACAAACAGCTTTTGAAGAGTTTTTAATCACATCTGCGATTTCCTAAATCCATTTCCATAGTGAACTACAGCAAAAGTGTAAGGGGAATCAACATTCATTTACCTTCTAATATAAAAAAGTAAACCATATATCTAATATAAAGGAAGTAGACTGACAAAGTAATATTTCGTGGAGACAATTATTCTCAAGTGTTTCTCAAATTTCACTTGAATTAAGGAAATCTGACAATTTATGAACAAAAACCACTGAAACTAGTTATATGCTGTATTTCAATTTACTCACAGAGCATATCAAATACATTTTAGAATCATTTTGTGTTTCTTCAGCCCTACAAAAACAGCTAACCTATCTACTGGGAAATCACTTTCTGTAGAAGTCTGGTTTGTTTTCATTGGTCAGACTAATTATAGACTAAGTAGTAGCTTATGTAAATCACATTTTAATATTGTTCCTTTTGATCATTTTAACTTAAGGGTCAGCAGTCTCTAATCATATGTATAATTGGTTTCCTTATTTTGATGCCTTGGAAGACAGCTTTCAGCATGAATCACATCTGTCACTGATGGCTGTTCAGGCCTTTTAAGTCCTCTTACTCCTGTAAAACCTGATTTTATGTGAGATTGGTTAAAAAAAGTCATTACCCTTTAAATGCTTTAGAAAACATGGAAAATGACAAACTAATTATTGCTGCTGGCTTTTAAGATATCTTGGAAAAATGTGCACAGATTTGAAACAGCTCTCTACAAATGAAACTGTAAGTTATATGAGAGTTCCAGAATATCTATAAAAACCCTACAGCATTTACCACCCACAAATCTCAAAGTACAATAAACTAAGAGATGTGTCATATCTTTCCTGGGCTTCCCTTCCTTCAACACCTTGACCCCGGAACTGGCTTTCCAAGCACTCACACATCCACAGTTCTGTGTCACCTAGGGTGTAACTTCCACAACTGATCTGTTAAAATTAACTTTTGAGGGTGGGTGGAGGTTAATGTTAAGCCAAATCTGTTCCCAGATATACTTCTTTTTTGTTCAAATGCATGTGTTGGTGGAGAAGGGAAGACAGAAGAGGCGCAGCAGTGGCAGGCAACAGGGCCACCTCTTAAGCAGGTCTGAAAATACTCAGGAATTCTCAGGCGGGCAGCATCATGTTTCAGGGAGGATGGGGGACCTTACCTAATGGGCTGGATATACAGAATCCCAGTGTTGACCAGAATCAAAGAGGAAACATAGAAGGTACACAGAAGCAAAATTAATGTTTTCTGATTTCATCAGAGCCTTGGCTTTTTGGTTTTCAGTCCAATTTTTCACCAGTCACTTTGGCAACCTTTATTTTCATGGTAAATAAGGATAAAAAAGAGAGCTGTGTTTATTTACAGATCATCCATGAAACTGAGCACACACTGGCTCCTAATTTTGCTGCAGAAATTCTATCATGGATGCAAATTACAGCTGCACATATGCCTTAAAAGATGGGTGAGCCAAACTGGTATTACTGCTTCGGGAAGCTCACACACATACACACACACACACAAAAAAAATCCCTAAAAGGCTCATTCAGGAAAGAACTTGCACATATACACAGGTTTCTGACACCAATCAGTGATCCTTCCTACAGCAAGCAGCCTCTTTCAAGTAAGAATGATGACTCCAGAACAGACAGTAGTTGACTCTGTAATAGTCTAAAGCAATAGTAACTGGATGGGCAAAAGGAAAGAGGAGGAAACGTGTTTAGAAAATCCCTAAAGCAGACAAACCCCTAATGCAGGCCATATGCTCAGTGGTAGAGTTAATGGGGAAAGTTCAGCACAGGTATTTACTGATATGCCTGTCCTGCGTTCAGCCTTTAACTGTTATTCTTCTAGAGCTTTGTGGACCTCCCAGTTTCAGTACAGCCCCTCTTCTCCACAACCTTTTCATTTGAGACGATTGCAGAGACTATATAAACTTTATGCAGTTCCTATAAATTAAATGCAATCTTTTTTCTCCTTCGCACCTACTATTGTATAAAAATGAAGAAAATCATTCAAGTCTAAAGTTCCTATGCCTATGTATATAGTTTACTGAAACTGCACTGTGTTTACTGGGCAGCTAGAGAGCAATAACACCATTATAAAATAATAATTACACACACCATATGGCTGGCCTGCACACAAATCCTATGCTGGAAAAGAAGGATGTCTGCTGTGAGGGTTGGATTCAAAGATTTAATGCTGGAAGGTAGTAAACAGTTAGGAATTGCCATTTTGGTTGAGCTCAACTCAGACCTTGACAAAAGAGAAAAACACAAAGAGAAATTTTGACCACCACACAGAAGCTGGGTCTTCCATACTCTTCCAATACACTCAGCTGCAACATGCTTTTACAGTAGGGTCTTAGATGTTGGAAAGGAACAGCTTTATATCAAATACACAGGTAAGGCATTGACAGGCATTTGCTGCATTAATTTAGAAGGGAAGAAACCTCTAGAGAAGCAAGAGGTGTACTGGTAGGATGATGAGCTTATTGTATAACCTGCACAGTTCTCTGCCCACAACTGTGACCTAAAAGAGAGAAGAATTTGGCAGAATTTGGCTCAGGCACAGTATCTACAGCCTAGTCAGTTTGCAAAGAAATATTTACAAAGATATATATTCTGGTTTGTCAAATCTTATGGCAAAGGCGAGTCATTTGTTATAGAGTAAAACTAAGCTAGCTCAAAAACCACTTGGGTAAATTCAAGGTTAAGTCATTAATGGACCACAGAGTCCCGGTGCTTTCCTCGGTGGCACTATTTCCTTCCCCACCACCCTAGAAATTCCTCAGGCATTTACTGATAATACCATTTCCTCCTTCAAATCGCCTGAAAGGTCACTACTGTTGCAATACCTAAAAGAAGCCAATCCCCTAACAGCATCTACATTCAACAGCAAATTAGAGATAGCAAATATTGATTTACTTTTAAATACTATTTATTCTGTTGTTGCAGAACCAGTTATGAATACTCCTCTGAGACACATCACCATGAGGCTGGGCACATCAAGTAACTATTAAATGTGGAAGCTGATGTGAGTGGAATACTTGTCAGCGTGTAATTACATTGCTTCAGAAAACTGCTTGATTTCCATGTATGTATATTACAGAAGTTCACTTGAATTCGCTTCCAAAGCTCTTAGCATTTCATCCAGGATATCATCATCAGATGTCATTAAAACCTTCACAACAGGCCAAGCTGGCTTTTAGACCCACTTGCAACTTACCTTGAAGACATCTTACTAACTACTGGTTTTATAACACACACAAAAGCCAGCTTCCTTGTTTCTCCTGCAAGTTATAACCTCTATAGATGTAAGATATACCTGTCATTAACATTGAGCAAGTCGTCAAGACAGGAATGGTGGTGGTGGCCACCTAACTGTGAAATAGGATGTTTTGACTGCCCTTGGCTTCAGGGGCAGTAACTTGCGAGGAGAATTGTCATATATCCACTTCATCAGTAACCAATGGCTACCATAAGACCAGCTTATAATGTGTATGGCTCCAGAAGTATCCAAGCATCTGCTGAAGTCTTAGATCAGAAGAAAATGGAACTTCTTATTACACAAAAAAATATGTGGGAAACTGCACGATATTTAAATACTAGAACCTAACTCCAAAAAGAAACATAGTTCAGACACTTGTCTTGGGAAATGCAAATTCCTCTCCTTTCACCTTCCTCACCCCAAAACTGCGGTGCACACATCCAAGCAATGGATCAGTCTCCAAAGAATACACATGGAACAGTCTACTTCTGAACAACTCAAACTCAGGCCACTAAATAAAATGAGAACAGGATTTTAAACTGGGCTTCATGCTGTTCCTATAATGTGACTCAGCCCAAGTATTTCTGATTGCTACTCATCATACTATCAAGTCTGAATAGTGTTTTCTCTGCAAATTTTATGTTCATGAAGGAAGCTGGAGTGACATCTTTGAAAATGGTTTTACCTAAAATTGCTCATTTGCTCCAAGTTTGTGCTACTGTGTCTCAAACACTGAAGAGTATGTTTCCAGGCATGCTGTTTTTACAGAGCCTTGTCAGGCTCTCCCAGCAATACCATTAGATAAAGAGAACGGGTTTGATTTATTTATTTATTTATTTATGCATTTTTACATAGACTCAGACCTATGGCATTGAGTAGCCAGGCTGAATTTTGGTGTCAAGAAAGAGGCTGGTATTGGACTATGATCTGCCTCACTGAGCTTCTGTATATAGTACAGCTGAGACACTTGAATCCTAGCACCTTCTACCTTTTTTTTTGCGTATATAGATGCAAGTAATTGTATATTCAACAAGCCATGCCATTACTTACAACAGTCAGGCATCAGGTACTGCAGGGTGATAATAGGCACAGGATACCGACAGCTGTAAGGAAG